AGGGTTTAGGGTTTGGGGCGTGTGCTCGTGGGCCACTGCGAATGGCAGCAATTTTTTCGCCAAGGGTTTGGCGATTTCAGGGCCGCAGCCTACGCTGGAGGGTTTGGCTCCAGGTCTAGGGTTTAGGGTTTAGGGTTTAGGGTTTAGGGTTTGCGCAGGTGTTGAAGGACCTGGGCCTTTTTGTCTGTCTTTATGACATAACGGAAATCACTGGGGCCCCCATTCTCTTGTCAAGCGGGAAGGCTCGCTACAATGTAAACCCTAAACCCTAAACCCTAAACCCTCAGAAAACCCTAAACCCTAAACCCTAAACTGTTGTTGCCAATGCCCGGGGGCGCCCTCTTGTTGGTCGCAAGCCCTAAAAACCTTCTGTGGATTATAATGAGTGAGGTGGGCTGCGGCGTTAGGGTTTAGGGTTTAGGGTTTAGGGTTTAGGGTTTGCGTCTCAGGTTTGCTTCAAGGCAGTTATCTTCAGGCCCTTTATAGGGGAAGTTCTTCAGGGAATTGTTTGCGAGTCTTCTCCTTCCGGAATAGCAGGTAAACCCTAAACCCTAGACGCCAAACCCTAAACCCTAGGCGCCAAACCCTAAACCCTAAACCTTAGACACTAAACCCTAAACCCTAGACACGAAACCCTAAACCCTAAACCCTACTTTTCATCGGCACCAAAACCCCTCTAAAGCGCTAAACCTTCGCAAACCCTAAACCCTCGCAAGCCCTAAACCCTCGCAAGCCCTAAACCCTCGCAAACCCTAAACCCTCGCAAACCCTAAACCCTCGCAAACCCTAAACCCTCGCAAACCCTAAACCCTCGGTTTCTGCAGTGGACATGGAGTTTTTTAAGGATGTGAAGATCCCGGCCTCGAACTTGAGGGAGCCGAAGGCCTGCGAAGAGCCAGCAGCAGCAGCAGCAGCAGCAGCAGGAACAGCAGCAGCAGCAGCAGCAGCAGCAGCAGCAGCAGAAGGCAAAACACAAGCTGCTGCTGTTTGGTCCTGGTGCTTCGAAGGCCACAAACTCACTTATGAGTTGGGGGCCCCCATTCGCTTTCGAGTAGCAGATGTGGTTTTCGCCAGAGAAGAAGGTCCCAAACCCTAAACCCTAAACCCTAAACCCTAAACCCTAGGCCGTAAACCCTAGACGCTAGGCCGTAGACCCTAGGCCCCGAGCTGCGCAGGAGACGGCCGCTGGCTGAGGGCTTAAACCCTAGGAGCCGACCGCCGCGGCCTAAACCCTAAACCCTAAACCCTAAACCCTAGGTCTTGGGGGAAAAGCGAGGAGCTGCAGACAGTGGGGGTTTAGGGTTTAGGGTTTAGGGTTTGGGTGTTTCAGCTCAAAAGAAATTCACTCTTGTGGCGACCGAGGAGACCTACGTGCCTCCCATGGTCATCATTGTGAGCCCCAAACCCTAAACCCTAATTCTAAACCCTCAGACCGAGTCCTGTGGTTTGCTGCAGCTGCTGCTGCTGCTGCTGCAGCTGCTGCTGCTGCTGCTGCTGCAGCTGCTGCAGCTGCTGCTGCTGCTGCTGAGCGTTTCTGTGTGGCGCAGGGGGAAGCAAACGCAGACGGCCTCGGCATGCTGTCTTGGTGGCAGTGACAGGCAGAGCTAGGGTTTAGGGTTTAGGGTTTAGGGTTTAGGGCTTGTGGGAGGCGCGGCCTCCCGAGGAGAGGAAGTGCTGGTAGCAGGTAGCTCTGGTGGACGCTCTTGTTTCGGCTGCTGCTGCTGCTGCTGCTGCTGCTGCAGCGCTTGCTGCAGCATGGCAAGCCGCTGCTGCTGCCGCAGCAGCTGCTGCCGGTGCAGCAGCTCCTGCAGCGAGAGCGGCTGCAGCACGTGCCCCCCAACAGCAGCAGCAGCAGCAGCATCTTGCAGCGTATGCAGCAGCGCATGCACCTTCCCTGCTGCAGCAAGTGCTTCGTGCATCTGCAGCAGCCGCAGCAGCACCAAGAATGACAGCAGTGGCGCAGTGCTGCTGCTGCTGCTGCTGCTGCAGCAGCAGCAGCAGCTGCTGCTGCTGCTGCTGCTGCTCGTGCAAGCAGCGAAACGAACGGCAAACACACCTGTAGCAGCTGCTGCTGCAGCTGCAGCAGCAAACTGCGGTGGGGGGAGTCTGGGGATGAAGCCGCTTTCCATTCGCTAGCAACCTCTTCAAGTAGCTGCAGCAGCAGTAGCAGCAGCAGCAACAGTAAAAGCAGCAGTAGCGGCAGCAGCAGCAACAGTAACTGCGACAGCAGCAGCAACAGCAGCAGCAGCAACACTAGCAGCAGCAGCAGCAGCAGCAGTAACAGCAACAGTACCAGCAGTAGTAACGGCAGCAGCGGCGAAAGTAGCAGTAACAGCACCGGCAGTAGCAGCAGCAGCAGTAGCAGCAGCAGCAGTAGCAGCAGCAGCAGTAGCAGCAGCAGCAGTAGCAGCAGCAGCAGTAGCAGCAGCAGTCGCGATGGTAACAGTGGCGTCAGCACCAGCAACATCCACAGCAGCAGCAGCAGCAGCAGCAGATGCGATGACAGTAGCAGCAGCAACAGCAGGACTAGCCGCAGCGCGGGCGACAGCAGCAGCAGCAGCAGCAGCAGCAGCAGCAGCAGCAGCAGCCACCTGCATGATGTCTCCTTCGCCGTCTGTTCTTTTCCATTTGCTGTGAAGCCTCGACAGCAAAAAGAGACCAAACAAATCGACGTCAGGCAGCCTCAAGAATTGCTGCTGCTGCTGCTGCTGCTGCTGCTGCTGCTGCTGCTGTTGCTGCTGCTCGGCGTCGTCTGCAGCGTAGGCCTCAACAGCGGAAGAAATGAACTCGGACCACAAAGCAGCAAAACCCTGAACGCAGCAGCAACAGCAGCAACAGCAGCAGCAGCAGCAGCAGCAGCAGCAACATAAGCAGCAGCAGCACTTGCTGCGGCGCCCTGCTGGAAGTCAGCTGCTGCAGCGAAGCACCTGTGGAGGCTCACTCCATAGCAAGAATGTTAAACTATGGATTAGGGTTTAGGGTTTAGGGTTTAGGGTTTAGTGTTAAGGGTTTACTGGGTCTCCCGTTGCTTCTGCTGCTTCAGCTTCTCGCTGCTGCGCTGCTGCTGCAAGGCCACCAATATCAATGGAGCCCTGCAGCAAGGACCCCACACACTTAATTGCAGGCACTGCAGCAACAGCAGCAGCAGCAACAGCAGCAGCAGCAGCAGCAGCAGCAGTAACAGCAGCAGCTGCTGCTGCTGCTGGGAAAGCAAACCTACCTGCACATAAAAGGTCGGCAGCAGCCAAAGGCGCAGCAGCAAAGCAGCTGCTGTCTCGTACGCAGCTGCAGGGATGTGGACCATGCTGCTGCTGCTGCTGCTGCTGCTGCTGCTGCTGCTGCTGCTGCTGCTGTGGCTGGCGCTGTCTTTGCTGCTGTGCCGTGAGCGCTTTCTTTGGCTCGCCACAGCCTCCGTCTCATCTAGCTGCTGTTGCTGCTGCTGCTGCTGCTGCTGCTGCTGCTGCTGCTGCTGCTGCTTCATCGTTGCAACAACTTCAGCAATTGTAGGGAGCTCTTCAAGCAAACGAGTTTCTTGCTGCACGGCATAGCATCAGCAGCAACGCAGCAGCAGCGGCACCCTGACTCCAGCAGCAGCAGCTGCTGCAGCAGCAGCGGCGCTGCTGGCTGCTGGAGCAGCAGCAGCTGCAGCAGCAGGGGCAGCAGAAGCTTGCTTACCGTGACGATGGCCTCCGCGTTCGGCAGCACCCATTCCTGCTGCTGCTCCTGCTGCTGCTCCTGCTGCTGCTGCTGCTGCTGCTTCTGCTGCTGCTGCTCCTGCTGCTGGCTATTTAAGGCAGCAAGCCGCATGGCTAGCTCCACCACTGCATGCATTTGCTGCTGCGCGACGTAGCAGAGAAGCTCTGTAGCCCCGCTAGGGACACTCAGGCTCCCTGCTGCTGCTGCTGCTGTTGCTGCTGCTGCTGCTGCTGCTGCTGTTGGGCAGCCTTCAGGAGCCTCTCCTGGAAGAGCGGGGACGGCAGCACCAGGTGGGACAGGAGACGCAGCAGCAGCAGCAGCAGCAGCAGCAGCAGCAGCATCCTCAGAGTCTGCTGTCCCCGAGGACACAGCGGCTTCCCCCTGCTGCTGCTGCTGCTGCTGCTGCTTTTTGCGAGAGGCGCCGAGGACCGCTGGCGCAGCAGCAGCAAAGAAGCCGGGAATAGCAGCAGCAGCAGCAGCTTTAAGTGCTGCTCTGCTGCTGCTGAAGGCCTCGTATTGCTGCCTATTCATGAGGCTTGTGCGGTAGCTGTGCAGCAGCAAACGAGTTGTGTGGCGGTCGCTGCAGAGAACTTTGTCTCGCAAGCTGCTGAGGCTTGCTGCTGCTGCTGCTGCTGCTGCTGCTGCTGTTGCTGCTGCTGCTGCTGCTGGTTCTCTTCCGGCTGCTGCTGCTGCTTCTGCACTGCCTGCGCTGCTGCGGGAAGAGAACGCCTCTTCTGCTTCTCTCCGGCCCTGCTGCTGCCGCTGCTGCTGCTGCTGCTGCTGCTGCTGCTGCAGCAGCAAAGAGCCCAGGTCAGAGCCTCTAGCAGCAAGACGGCGGACTCCTCGGTGCAGCGCAGCAACAGTGCTCAGCCTGCTGCTCTCCGTGGGGAAGTACCTGCCCACGTAGCAGCAGCAGCAGCAGCAGCAGCATATACAACAGCAGCAGAAAACGCAGCAGCAGCAGCAGCAGCAGCAAATGCAGCAGCAGTAGCAGCAACGCGTACCGCTCTAAACAGCTTCGCCAGAAGCTGCTGGTGTTCAGCTGTCTTTCCACAGACTGGCAGAATGTGCGCCTGATGCTGCTGCTGCTGCTGTTGCTGCTGCTGCTGCTGCTGCTGCTGCTGCTGGTACTGGCGCTGCTGCTTGGCACAGTGCTGCAGCAGCAGCAGCAGATGCAGCAGCAGCAGTCTTTGCAGACTTCGCAAGCAGCAGCAATCGCCTCAAACTTGAGAGCATTCAGCAGCAGCAAAGCCCATAAGTGCACGTAGACCTCAACTGCAGCAAGACGGCCGCTGCTGCTGCTGCTGCTGCTGCTGCTGCTGCTGCTGCTGCTGCCAGGTGCAGCATCGGCGTCTCCGGCGATGAAGCAGGCTGACTCGATCCACGATGCCAGCTGCTTACGGCTGCTGCTGCTGCTGCTGCTGCTGCTTCGAGCTCCTTGAGACTGCTGCTGCTGTTGCTGCTGAATGTGCTGCTGCTGCTGTTGCTGCTGCTGCTGCTGCAGCAGCTGTACTCGGACGCACAAAAAGAGCTCCTGCAGCAAAGCAGCAAGCAGCCACCCAACAGGCTTGTTGCAGCAGTAGCCTCACCACACTATTCAAGACTAGGGTTTAGGGTTTAGGGTTTAGGGTTTAGGGTTTAGGGTTTAAGGTTTAGGGCTCAGGACTTGAATATATTCGCTCTCCACCGAAAAGGAATCGGGCCCTCCGCGCCGCCTTTCCTGCTGCCGCTGTCTCCGCCGCTGCTGCTTTTGCTGCTGCTGCTGCTGCTGCTGCTGCTGCTTCTGCTTTTGCTCTTCTTGCTGTTGCTGCTGTTGCTGCTGTTGCTCCTGCAGCTGCTGGCTTTGGCCTGCACTGCTGCTGCTGCTGCTCCTGTCGTCTCCTGTTGCAGTGCCTACTGGGGCGCCATTGCTGCTGCTGCTGCTGCTGGCCAGCTCGCTGCTGCTGCTGCTGCTGCAGAGCGCGTTGCTGCTAGTGCTGCTGCTGCTGTTGCAGCTAGCGGCAGCTGGCGGATGATACAGCTTTGCTGGCAGCACCTGCTCATCTCCTTTTCCACTACCTTGCTGCTGCTGCTGCTGCTGCTGCTGTTGCTGCTGCGGCTGTTGCTGCTGCTGCTGCTGCTGCTGCTGCCTCGTTTGCTCCAAAATGAATTCTTTGAGCTGCTGCTTCTGCTGCGGCGGCAGCCGCTGCATAGCGCGGGGCCAGGCGCTTCTGGGGAGGCGCTTGAGGGCCCAGTAGAGCTGCTCTATGTTGCTGCTGCTGCTGCTGCTGCTGCTGCTGCTGCTGCTGTCGCCCCTGCTGCTCCTGCTGCTGTTGCTGCTCCTGCTGCTGCTGCTCGCAGGGCCGGCCGATGTCGCTGGAGAGCTCCCCAACTCCGCCTCTGTCTTGCTCTGAACAGCATCCTTGACATTTTTGCTTCTGCTGCTGCTGCTGCTGCTGCTGCTGCTGCTGCAGGATTTCTGGACTGGTTGCTGCTGCATCTGCGTTGGTGCTTGCAGCAGCAGCAGCAGCGGCTGCTGCTGCGGCGGCCCTGAAGAGCTGCTGCTGCTCAGTGCCAAAGCTAGTCAGGCTGGAAGCCGCAGCTGGCTCGGAAGCTGCTGCAGCAGCAGCCAATGCAGCTGCAGCAGCAACTGCTGCTGCTGCTGGCGTTGCTGCTGCTGCTGCTGCTGCGAGGGACGCAGCAAAATAGCTTGGTGCTGATGGATGCTGCAGCTGATGCTCTTGTTTTCGCTGCACCGTTATTGCTGCTGCTGCAGCTCTTGCTGCTGTTGCTGCTGATGCTACTACAACAACAACTACTGCTGCTGCTGCTGCTGCTGTTGCTGCTGCTGCTGCTGCTGTTGCTGCTGCTGCTGCTACCGTTGCTGTAACGGCTGCGCTGGTGTCAAGATTCCGCCTGCGGGGTCCTTCATCGACGTTGTCGCTTCTGCTCCGCCTGCTGCTGCTGCTGCTGCTGCTGCTGCTCTTGCTGCTGCTGCTGCTGTTGCTCTTGCTGCTGCTGCTGCTCTCGTTGCTGCGGCTGCTGCTACATAGCCAACTGAGGCCTCCCTGGAGTATACGAGATGAGCCCACGGCAGCCTCGGCTTTCGCAGCCCATGCACTAGGGTTTAGGGTTTAGGGTTTAGGGTTTAGAATTTAGGGCTCAAGATTTGGGGTTTAGGGTTTAGGGTTTACTGCCACTTACCCAAAGGTGGGGCCCCCCAGGGCCTCGGGGCCCTCGGGGCCCCCCTGGGGGCCCCCAGGGGCCCCAACAGATCAGAAGTTGTTTTGCATATTTGCTGCTGCTGCTGCTTTATTTTGCATGCATTGTTTGTCTATTTCCTTCTTGCTGCTGCTGCTGCTGCTACCGCTGCTGTTGCTGCTGCTTGGGGGCCCCGAGTGGCCTGGCGTGTCTTAGCGCAGCCAAATCGAGACAGCAGCAGCAGCAGCAGCAGCAGCAGCAGCAGCAGCAGTAACCGCGACAGCAGCAGCAGCAAACGCAGCAGAAGAAACAACTGCAGCAACGCGCATGCAGCAGAAGTGAAAGTTCCTGTGCTGGAGCCGCATACAAAGTGCGAGGAGCCCCGAACTAGCTGCTGCAGCAGCTGCAGCGGCTGCAGCAGCTGCTGCTGCTGCAGTCATCTGCTGCTGCTGCTGCTGCTGTAGCTAGTGGTATATGCAGGGACTGCTCGCCCATGATTTCTCTAGCGAGGGCAGCAGCAGCAGCAGTTGCTGCAGCAACCAGAAGGTCCCTTAAAGCTGCACCAGCAGGGGAAGCTGCTGCTGCAGCTCCTGCTGCTGCAGCTCCTGCTGCTGCAGCTCCTGCTGCTGCAGCTCCTGCTGCTGCAGCTCCTGCTGCTGCAGCTTCTGCTGCTGTTGCTTCTGCTCCTGCTGCTGCGCTCCCCTGGAGACACGGCGGCACCAGATGTGTCCCGCACAGCAGCAGCAGCAGCAGTAGCCGCCGCTTAAGCGCAGGATTCAGCAGCAGCAGCAGCAGCTGCTGCTGCAGCAGCTGCAGCAGCAGCTGCTGCTGCTGCTGTTGCTGCTGGCAAAGGGCGGGAGCGTCTAGCCATCGAAGCTTATGGCTGCTTGCAGCTTCGCGGCGCCTTTCCACAGCGCAGGCCCCAGCAGCAGCAGCAGCAGCAGCTGCTGCTGCTGCTGCTGCTGCTGCTGAAGGCACTCCCCGTTCGCGGCCAGCTCTCGCCGCACCCCCAGCAGCAGCAGCAGCAGCAGCAGCAGCAGCAGCAGCAGCAGCAGCAGCAGCAAGGGTGCGCAACCTGGCGCTGATGGCCCACATCGACGCGGGCAAAACCACCACTGGGGAGTGTCTGCTGCTGCTGGGCCGTTTGCTGGCAGCAAAAGGAAAGGTGGACGAGGGCACTGCAGCCCTCGACTTCCTCCGACAAGTAAACCCTAAACCCTAAACCCTAAACCCTAAACCCTAAACCCTTCGGGCGGCTTCAGACGAGGGCAGGGGCGCAGCAGCGAGCTAGTAAACGGCACGGTGCAGGGGCCGCCTGCTGCTGCTGCTGCTGCTGCTGCGGCTGGCTCCAGATACGATTAAGCTGGGACTGAGGGTTTAGGGTTTAGGGTTTAGGGTTTAGGGTTTGGCTGCAGGAGAGAGAACGAGGCATCACCATCCAGGCTGCAGCCTCTCGCCTCCAGTGGCGCGACTTCACAATTAACCTCATCGACACCCCAGGGCATGGCTGCTGCTGCTGCTGCTGTTGCTGCTGTTGCTGCTGCTGCTGTTGCTGCTGCTGCTGCTGTTGCTGCTGCTGTTGGTGCTGCTGCTGCTGCTGCTTCGGGCGCCGGTGATGTGCCTGCTGCTGCGGAAGTGGAGCGTATTACCGCCGGTGCTGCTGCTGCAGTGTGCTGTCAAGATATGCCGCTGGATTTGCTGCTGCTGCTGCTGCTGCTGCTGCTGCTGCTGCTGCAGCCACGTGGACTTCTCTGTGGAGGTTGAGCTCTCGCTTGTTGCTGCTGATGGAGTTGTGCTGCTGCTGGATGGCACTCGAGGTGTAGAAGTCCAGACAGCAGCCATATGGCGTCTGCTGCAGCAGCAGCAGCAGCGCCAGCAGCAGCAGCAGCAGCAGCAGCAGCAGGCCTCGCGGCACATACCACGGATATTATTTGCCAACAAAATGGACCGAGACGGGGCGGATGCGGTCAGCTGCTGCTGCTGCTGCTGCTACTGTTGGTGCTATTGCTGCTGTTGCACTTGCAGCTGCTGCTGCTGCGTGATTTAAAGGGCCTTTAAACTTTGCTGCTGCTGCTGCTGCTGCTGCTGTCAGGACGCATGCCTCCGCTCCGTGCGGCGTCGGCTGGGGGCCTGGCCACTGCAGCTGAACGTAGCAGTGCGGCCCACAGCAGCAGCAGCAGCAGCAGCAGCAGCAGCAGCAGCAGCAGCAGCAGCAGCAGCAAAGCCGCTGCTGCACCTCATAGACCTCACAGACTTGAAGTGCCGCAGCTATTTTAGCCACCCCCTTGGCAGCAGGGGGCTGCCGCTGGTGGAGGAGACGATCCCGCCTGCTGCGCTGCAGCAGCTGCTGCAGTCTCCTGCAGCAGCAACTGCAGCAGCAGCAGCAGAAGCAGCGGCAGGGCGGCTTGCTGCGTCGCTTGCTGCTGCAGACGGGGCTGCTGCAGCAGCGGGAAAGTTCTGCTGCTGCTCGAAGACGTCTGTCTTCTCGACGAGGCCTTCGAGGCGCTTGCCAGCAGCAGCAGCAGCAGCAGCAGCAGCAGCAGCAGCAGCAACATGACGACGGAGCTGTGGCTGGCGCTGCGTCGGATTGTGGCTGCGAACTCAGGTGTACATACACCCCAGCGCTGCCGCTCTCAGCGGGCGTTGCTGCTCACTTCTGCTGCAGTTGCTGCTGCTTGTTGCTGCAGTTCCTGCTGCTTCCTGAACTGCTGCTGCTGCTGCTGCTGCTGCTGCTGCGGTGTGTGTCCGCAGCGGTCCCCATCTTGTTTGGATCTGCGAGAGACACTTGTGGGGTCGAGCTGCTGCTGGATGCTGCTGCTGCGCTGCTGCCTTCTCCCCTGGAGCTGCCGCTGCCGCTGCAGCGCTGCAGCAGCAGCAAATCGTGTCTTGCTGCCTTCAGCCAGGCCAAGCAGCAGCAGCAGCAGCGGGAGCAGCGGCGACGCAGCCACGGGTCAGGGCTGACAATGCTTTCCCTGCAGCAGCAGCAGCAGCAGCAGCAGCAGCAGCAAGCAAGTCAGAAGGGAAGCCTGTTTGCTCCTAGCAGCGCATCTGTTGCTGCTGCTGCTGCAGCAAACGCAGCAGCTGCTGCTGCGTCCGCACTTCTAGGTGGCCCTCTCACATCCCA